GCCCGCACGGCCGCCCTCCGCGGCACCTCGGCCGGGGTATCACACGATGGGCGGGCCCGCCGACGAGGAGCCGGCGCCCCGCTCCTGACAGCCCTGCCGCCTGCCCGCTCGCCAGGGCCCGGGCCTGGGCCGGGAGAGGCTGGTCCCAGCCGCAGGCCGCCTGGGCGAGCCTCTGCCTCTGGAGCTGTCCCCGACCGAGAGACGCACACGTGCGCCCGTTTGGCACCAGATGGTTTTAGCTTTATCTACCTACCGTCTGCTCATACGGCTGCCGTGGGCCAAGCAGAGCAGCTTAGAAGCACTCCTCGTGCTCCCCAACCTTTCAGCAGCCCGTAGGTCCAGGGAAGGCTCTGCTGTCAACAGCAGCCATCCATCTTTGCCACACGACTGGCCCGTGCCTTTGTACAGCTTCAATAAAAAACAAAACACGCTTCATGTTCCTAATTTCCCTGTAATGAATCCTGTACCTCAGTCAAGCCATTTCATTAAACGCTGTCACTTGGATTTCTCCTTCAAGGGCAGCTTCTGCCTGACACGGAGCCACCACTGGTCCAAAATTCTTTCTTGCACAGCTTCCTAGTCACCTTGAGCAGCATCACAATAAATACCCTAAACACTGAGCCTCTTCTTGCCCAGCAAAGCCAGTCTATTAAAAATAATCTCCCAATCCATACTTCAACAGGTAATACATAATGACAGCTGACACCGTGCCACCCCCCTGAGAGCTGTGCCCTCCCACCCAGCCTTTCACCAGCCTTGCCTTGCATCTTCTACCTGCCTCCACTGCCAGATTCATATTGAAATCAGTATATAACCAGCTAAGTCAGAGTCCAGAAATTATGGCAATTCCTACAGAGCAGAGAGACAGACAGACAGAGTGAGCAAGAGTGAAGCCCTTTGAAGAAGGACTTTAGGGTACTGGTGGATGAAAAACTGGACATGAGCTGGCAATGTGCACTCACAGCCCTGGAAACCAACTGTATCCTGGGCTGCATCAAGGGAAATGTGGCCAACAGGCCGAGGGAGGTAGTTCTGCCCCTCTGCTCTGGTGAGACCTCACCTGCAGTTCTGTGTCCAGCTTTGCAGTCCTCACCACAGGAAAGACATGGGCCTGTTAGAGCAGGTCCAGAGTAGGCCACAAAGATGGTCGGGGATGGAGCACCTCTACTATGAAGAAAGACTAAGAGAGTTGGGGTTGTTCAGCCTAGAAAAGAGAAGGCTCTGGGGAGACCTTATTGCAACCTTTCAGTGCTTAAAGGGAGCTTATAAGAAAGACACTTTTTACCAGGGCCCGTAATGACAGGACTAGGTGTGGTGAGTTGACCCAGGTTGGATGCCAGGTGCCCACCAAAACTGCTCTATCACTCCCCTCCTCAGCTGGACAGGGGAGAGAAAATATAACAAAAGACTCATGGGTCAAGATAAAGACAGGGAGAGATCACAGGCAAAACAGACTTAAGGAAATCAGTTTAGTTTATTACCAATCAAATCAAAGTAGGATAATGAGAAATAAAAACTAATCTTAAAACACTTTCCTCCCACCTCTCCCTTCTTCCTGGGCTTAACTTTACTGCCTATTTCTCTACCTCCTCCCTCTGAGCAGCACAGGGGAACGGGGAATGGCGGTTGCAGTCAGTTCATCACCCATTGTCTCTTCTGCTTCTTCCTCCTCTCACTCTTGTCTGCTCCAGCATGGGGTCCCTCCCATGGGAGACAATTCTCTACAAACTTCTCCAGCGCAAGTCCTTCCTGTGGGCTGCAGTTTTTCATGAGCTGTTCCAGCATGGGTCCCTCCCACGGGCTGCAGTCCTTCAGGAACAGGCTGCTCCAGCCTGGGTCCCCCGTGGGGTCACAAGTCCTGTCAGCAAACCTGCTCCAGCGTGGGCTCCTCTCTCCACGGGGCCACAGGTCCTGCCAGGAGCCTGCTCCAGTGTGGGCTTCCCGCAGGGTCACAGCCTCCTCCAGGCATCCACCTGCTCTGAGTGGGGTCCCCAGGGGCTGCAGGTGGAGATCTGCTCCACCGTGGACCTCCACGGGCTGCAGGGGCACAGCCTGCCCCACCGGGGGCTGCACCGGGGGCTGCAGGGGGGGTCTCTGCTCTGGTGCCTGGAGCAACTCCTCACCCTCCTTCTCCACTGACCTTGGTGTCTGCAGAGTGGTTCCTCTCACATATTCTCACTCCTCTCTCCAGCTGCAATTGCACTGTATTTTTTCCCCCTTCTTAAATATGTTACCACAGAACTGGTGCCACTATCACTGATGGGCTCGACCTTGTCCAGATGTCTTGGAGCCGGCTGGCATTGACTCTATCAGACATGGGGGAAGCTTCTAGCATCTTCTCACAGAAACCACCTCCGTGACCCTCCCCCCACTACCAAAACCTTGCCATGCAAACCCAGTACACAAAGGGCAATGGTTTTAAACTGAAGGAGGGTAGATTTAGATTAGATCTAAGTAAGAAATTATTTCCTGTGAGGTGGTGAGACACTGGCACAGGTTGCCCAGAGAAGTTGTGACTGCCCCCTCCCTGGCAGTGTCCAAGGCCAGGCTGGACGGGGCTTTGAGCAACCTGGTCTAGTGGAAGGTGTCCCTGCCCATGGCAGGGGGTTGGAACTAGATGATCTTTAAGATCTGTTCTGACCCAAACCATTCTATGATTCTATATTCACACACACAAAATAGAGAGGGAACTGATAGAAAGTTAAACAGCAACAACCACCTTGCATTGCTTGGTTGCTACTTGTATTGACTCTAACTGGTATAAACCACCCCTTTAATGAAGTGTGAAGGAAAAATTAAACGAGTGAAAGTTTAATGCTTTTAAAAACTGGGTCTTACTTTCTTATCCTTGTCCAACAATTTTTTCATGAGAAATTTATGTCTGAATCACATTATTCATGGAAAGTATTGCTTACTATGGTTATGGTGGAATTATAATATTAAAGGTTTCAAGGTATGTCCAGCAAAACTACTTTTGCTTTCTAGTTTAGTCACTGTCCATTTAGACTACTGACAAACTCTGGGAAGAAATATCTATTTGAAAAAAGATCTGATGCAATTAATACCATGAAGAGTCTGGTGCCTTTAAAAGGTCTCTTCTAATTGTAGCAGAATTAAAGATACATTTCTTTAGCCTATAAATGTTTTTGCAATAAAAACAAAATGCAATAAATGTTTCAGACTTACATAAGAATTAGGCTGGGACTAACTTTGAATTTTAAAAAAAGTTTCTTCTACTCACTAAAATTCTATGGCATTTCAGTGACTTGAACTGAACACTTTATAATGTTCTTTTTATACAAATTCTACTCACAGACATACCTGTCATAGTTCAGCTTTGTTTTTGAGAAGTACTTGTGATAGACTTGGATAGCCATTGCTTGGTCTTGTTTAACTTTTATATTTATGATCAATTTGATAAAACCTTTTCTGATGTTTCTATGTAATGTGAAAATAAAAACATTCAGATTCTACGATTTGCAGAAAAAGCATATAATTTGAAATACTTAAATAAAAAGTTATTATTTTTCATACTATTTGCTCTGTCTATTCCATAAAGGTTAAACTGAAAAAATTGAGACACAAATTATATATAATATTCTGGAAAATTATTTGAGTCCTGTTGTTGCAGAAATAGATAATTACTTTTTCACACAAATGGTCTCACTGAGGTGAAGGTGTATCTTAGAAATATATACTCAACCATAAGAATTTACAAAATCAGGTGCTTCTCTAAAATAAAATAGAACTTAAATACTTACCAATCTGGACTTAATCCTGAAATCTTTGAAATGCTTTGGCTTTTTAAGAATGTTTAAGAATGTTCTAAACTTTAAATACAAATTTGAAGTTGTCTCATGAAAATAAGATCCAAAATTATAATTTTGGTTTATGCTCTTTGATTTTTGTTGTTGTCATAAAGCATATATGGAGGCTTTCATAGAGCAAGTCAGGAATGGCCAGAAAATCTCTTGTGTTTCCCTAGAAAATGAACAACATTAGTAGTAAATATTTAAAAACATGGCAAAGCATTATAGGAAGTTTACTTACACAAATAAAGATCTCTAATAGTTGGGGGTTTGTTTAAGTAAGTGCTGGGTTGGTTTTTTTTGTTTGGTTGTTTTTTTGGGTTTGTTTTTGTTTTGTTTTGTTTTGTTTTGAGAAAAAGCATGCAAAACTGTGCTCCTGAGTACCAGGTCTGTCTTACCTCATATTCTAAATATATGTCTCTTCACAGTTTTCATTAACAATATTCAGTCCATCATTAAATAGAAGAACCAAAGCTTTGAGGTCCACAGTTTAGTTATATATTTTTTAACTGAGGTATGGGAAAATTTTATTATATGCAGTATTCCATTTTATTGGTCCACTAGCACAGACTTTCTCTGATCATTTTTTAGAAAGTATATTTATGGTTTCTAAAATAATGACTGCAAAATTCAAAGAGCAGTACATGTGTACTTTTTATGCATGGTGCTTTTGACAATACAGACAAACAATAAAATTACTGAGTCTTTGGAATTCAGTTCAAAATTTTGGCTGCTTTTGGATTAGTAAGATATCAAAAATAGTGGAAAATGATCCTACACCAGTTATGTTTCAACTGTTGGCAGGAATTCTTTGGTTTTCAATAAACACGAGCATCTACTTGCATTTCCTACAGACATCATCATATTAACTAAAATTCTTAATTCACTATATTTTGATGTCAAAACCAACTCACGAATACCTCCTCGATAACTTAAAAGTTATTGATTATTAAGTATCTGAACTATTTCATAGCACTAGTAAACAAATATGATTAATAGAACATGTTTGTAATCATACTGATAGGTTTTTAAAACTCAAATTGAAAAATAATTTTCTAGTTGCATGAATGCAACTGGTATTAAATATGTACAGAGGGCAGTCAACAGTGAGGTTAAAGGAACATGTGGTTGTAAGATTAAAAAAAATAATCAACGTATCTATTACATAGAAACAATTTTTAAAAGGAACCACCATAGTACTGTAGCTTCTCAGGTCATCATGAGAACCTGTTGCAGCACATAAAATAATTGCAAAATTAATAATAGATTATTTCCTCCACTGAAGAAACAGTAAATATGCAAAGAGTGGCTGAAGTAGTTTGAGATCGTAGTTGCCCACTTAGACTGATAGATTCTTTTGCGAAAACAGTAACAGCTGAGCTGTCTCACAGATCCCTTCCTGCTCTTTTTTCTTTTTAAAGATCTTTTCAGCTACATTATATGGCTATTTAAAACTACCCCCTGCTGGACACAGCACTTCATGAGTAATAGCCTACACAACGCCATCAGTGATAAAAATAGGAGAACCGCCTTACATACAGAGATGAAATATTTTAGTGTATTTCACACTGCTTTATTAGATATAAAAATCTGGTTTTCATGTAACTATCTCTGAATAATAAATTCTTGTGATATTCATAAATTTGCATAGCTGCCTTATCTGAGAATCAAAATGTTTTAAACCAGGCACTGAAAGCTTCATAACTAACCTCTTGTTTTCCACAAATGTATTCTAGATTCCATTACATTAAATGTCTACAAATTCTGCTCATTACCTGCAGGAAGTGAACCGATGACT